CTTCGTCCCACTTGATTCCTAGCTCTGCCCACTGGGCTTGCATTCGAAGAGGTAAGAGCCTGACTATTCGTTCTAAAGTAACCATGGAATTAAGTTCCGTTGTGCAATTTAGCTGTTCTAAGGTTAAAGCAGCGTTCTGCATTTTAATAGCCAAATTCGTCAATAATTCAGGATCATTAAAATCTGCGTTCCCGGTTCTAAATAAGTCCTCTAAGGTTTCCCGGGCTATTACATGCGACTGTCCAAAGAGCTGTTTTAGAATGGCCTTAGCTCTCTTATATCCTGCTTGTGGATCCATAATAATACAGCCTTCAATCGCATTTTTTGCTTTTCCTTTACAATAATGAATTAAATACAATAAACGCACTTGGTCGTCTTTTACTCTTGGTTCTATAAACGTTTCGATTTGGCGCATGAACCTAAAATAGTCGCGAGACCTTCCATCAAAAAATGAAAGTTCAACCTTAGGTAGTTCTGAACCTACTATCGGTGTCTTAAGTATCTGATCGGTCTCTTTTTGCTGTACTCCTTTATCTGTGCGTTATATTCTTATATTCCCATAATTTACTTTAATTTAAGTGGTCAGTATGAATGTTATCTTGACTTACTACTGTATTGACTACTTTAACATGACAGGTTAAGTAGTGCTTTGGTTATATATATACACTTGCCACACTGCTGCCTTTTCCTCTCTCTCTTCTCCTTTTCAGAACCCCATTCACGGTGGGAAATCCTTGGCAACTCTAGGGAACATGCACCCAATGTACATGACTGTCTGGATCACAGCTCGTATCAAGCGCGTTCCATATGACCTTTCCCAACAAATTCACTATTGATCTCGGCCAATCGCCAATAGAACCTATTGTGCACCTTCCTCATTTGTACTCTACTATTGAAAATGTGGCTGCATAATACTGTTTCTGTCAGTGATATGGTGTAAATATGCAATCAGAAACTGTATCTTATACTTAATTTTACTGCTATAACTTTTACAGTAATTGTAAAAGCATTTGTGACAATTTGATCTAGCCTGTAAACTGGCTTGACTCTTGTAACTTAGTTATTTGAGAATAAATTATTATTATTATTATTATTATTATTATTATTAACTCTCACTTAATCCTGGTTCCTTAATGCCTGCCAAAGGTGACTTACAATAATAAGTATCAGACATAACATGTGGGTTACCCATAAAAAATTCATCATTAACGACTTGCTTAGCGTTCTGTGATCCGTCGAGCTCTTCCACCCTCCTCATGTTTGATTTCTTTCTGCTTGACATCATAAATGAAGTTCAATATAAGGAAGGTAACAAATACAAAATATAGTAATTCCACAGTTCAGTTCAAGAATATGATAAATAATCCAATTTTCTTCTTTCAAGAAAGTTTAGTGTGATAAACGATTAAAATTCCAAATGTTTCTTTATAATTCTTAATAATCCAACTGTAATTGTTCGTCTTATCAAAAGGTAATAGATAATTCCAAAATATACACGTTCATAGGAATATTTCCAGGATATAATCGTTTATAGAGATATTTCCAGACTGTAAATGAATTTCTACAGTGGCCGTTCCAATGGGTTCCAATAGGGGCACTCCTGTACGCTTTTCCCAGTTCCGGGTCCCAACCAATTCAAAAAGGACAAAATTCTAGGAGAAAGCGTCTTTATTAATTAAAAAATGGAAATACAAAGCATTACCTGGAAATAGTGCTTCTTCCAGGGTACAATTACTCCGAAGAGTATCAGACACAGTGACAGATAAGTGACGCTAAGTCCAGCGGCCACTGCATCAATCCAAATATGGCAGTAGCCATATTGAAGATCAAATTTAAACAACATATGTACAGTTCAGAAGCAAACACAAAAACTTCAACATAAGTACAAAATATAGAAAGAATAACAATATACAATGATAAAATCTCAAATTGGAATCAAATAAAATACCAAAAATGTCAACAGAAAAAGTCCGTCATGTCATAGCAAAAATATGTAAACATGGAGGGATTTTCCAAAACACAAAGCATTCAAAAAAGGATTCTACACGATGCAACACAACATACACCAACCGAATCACTCTTGATGGAGATGCCTTGGAGGACGTTAACAACTTTACATATCTTGGCAGCATCATCGACAACCAAGGTGGATCCGATGCAGATGTGAGGACGCGGATTGGCAAAGCAAGGCCTGCATTTCTACAGTTGAATAATATCTGGAACTCCAAACAACTTTCAACCAAAACGAAAATCAGGATTTTCAATACAAATGTCAAGACAGTTCTACTGTATAGAGCGGAAACATGGAGAACTACCAAAGCCATCATCCAGAAGATACAAGTGTTTATTAACAGTTGTCTACGCAAAATACTTCGTATTCGTTGGCCAGACACGATCAGCAACAATGAACTGTGGGAGAGAACAAACCAGATTCCAGTGGAGGAGGAAATCAGGAAGAAGCGGTGGAAGTGGATAGGACACACTCTACGAAAAGCACCTAACTGCGTCACGAGACAAGCCCTCACATGGAACCCTCAAGGCACAAGGAAAAGAGGAAGGCCAAAGAATACATTACGCCGAGAAATAGAGAAAGATATGAGAGGAATGAACAAACATTGGACAGAACTGGAGAAAGAAGCCCAGGACAGAGTTGGTTGGAGAAAACTGGTGGGCGGCCAACGCTCCATTGGGGGTAACAGGCGTAAGTAAGTAAGTAATATATATATATTCAAGGTCTCTAACCATCGATTACTATCGTCTCTCTCACCCCAATCAGGTAACCTACATGTACCAACAAGACTCAGTCCACTTGTTAGTGACTTCATGGATTTGTGCGATGTTTTGGTTTTGCCACACCTAGCTTTCTCCCAACCTAAACCTACATCTTTAAACATATATCGACGATTAAGTCGGTGGTTGCAGATTCGTAACACACCTTAAATGATAAAGCTTATCTAAGACAGACATTTATTAGGCTGGGTACCGGTATGTATACAACGTTATATGCAACTTTTGTTAGATCTAAACTTGAAAAATGAGTTTAGGAGGCAAGCCCCTGTTCGACGGTGACTCGAATTTCTTCGAAAACGTATAGAGGGCAGCTTCCCAAGAAAGTCCTGTGGTCCGAGGTTTAGCATACACAGGGCGATTTACAAGACTTGTAATTCCTTCACGCAGTCATCGAATTTTGTTGTCTGTTACTCAGTTAAGCGACGCCAGCATCATCTATTGATTTGTTCAAAAGAATCATCCCAGATTTACAGCAGTATCAGAGGTGACTGTTACGTCCAATTTTTTGCTCCTTGACCCTTAGAAGCACTGTGTGTCGATCTATTTGCAATTCCCGATCCCAAATCAAGATAAAACCAAATTCCAAAGTTAGGTACCAAAGTTTATTGTCAATTCACAAATAATCGACCAAAATGTCTTTCATTTATTACAAATAGACGACCAATGTCGTTCTAACAACAATAATTATAATAATTACAATTACCTTCTATTTTATAGATTCCTGGAGCAAAAAACTGCAGACGAACAAACCAAGACAAACAGGAGTCCAAAATGGCCGAAAATAATAATTCAAACAAGTTCATAAGTTAAGTAAAACAAATATACCCAAAAACAGTGAAATTAATGATATTTATATAAAGGTTTTGATCCGCAAAATGTCTTCATTTCTCCCGTAACACTCCCGACCAAAAGAACCTTGGTTCTTTTCACCGACAAAAATAGATAACAACAATCCAAGTATGTGCATCACAAGCAATCAACAACAAACATGCAATATGTCAACAATCTCGTGATCCCTAGGACTTACACCAGTACCCCTAGGGATCCGAGTAGCTACCTACCATCTACCGCTTCAAGAAGACACAGTTTACGTATATCTCTCACTAGGATCCCCTTTCTCGTCCTTAGTTCTACCTGTCTCACTAGTCTGTCCTTACTTGGTATCACTTTCTGTACTAGACCTAAGGGCCACTTGTTTTTCTCAGAGAAGTCAGAACATATCATTACTAAGTCACTTTCTCGTATGTTCCTCTCTAACTGTGTCCACTTGTATCTACGCTGCAACAGCGAAACATATTCCTTAGACCAACGTTTCCAAAATACTTGCGCCAAGTAACTCGCTTGCTTCCATCTCTTAGAATACCTGTCATTAGATAGAGTGTTAGTAAATTCTGCAACATTCTCTCTCAATAGTAGTAGTTTTGCTGGTGTTATTGCATCAAGATCCTTTGAGTCGTCTGTAACGGGAACCAAAGGTCGATTGTTTATTATACGCTCCGCCTCTATCACAAAAGTTTCAAGGCATTCATCTGTCAAAATTTGTTCCTTTACAAGAGCATCCAATAACCTACGTACAGAGCGAGTCATACGCTCCCACAGTGACCTCATGCTGGCGTGCAATACATTAAGCATGCCAAATCATTTGGTTATCCCCGAAAAATTGCTACACAAAGAGCGAAAACCCGAGTTCGTGCACACTTTTTCTCACTAAGAGTTGTTGCGACTTGGAATAGTCTTCCTTCCGAGGTGACCACAGCCAGCTCATCGGATAGCCTTAAGAAGAGACTTGATAAGTACGTACTCACATACAGATAGTCATCTCCCTCTTGGACCAGTTATGTGATACATGTCTCGAGACTTGCTAGTTGTTATTATTGCCATTTCTCTGACCATTAACTTAGTCTACATTTGCCTCGCTTACTCTTCGGTCCTCTCGCACAATCTTTACTACCAATTAACTAAGTTATTTATCCATTTATTCACTGAGTTTTGGAATCTTCTTATTATCACTATAACTTTCTCTTTATTATTCTCCACATTGCAACTTACTGATCTCCGACTTGATATCGTGATAGCTGCTGGTATCCAGAAACCATACAGCCCGGAAACAAACATACTCATCCAAATCATACATACACATTCATAAATAACTGCCAACTGACTAGAATTAGTGCAGTCGAGCGGCTAGACTACCATTGATTGGAAACTACCGAAAACTTGGATCCTTACCGAAAGAACGAGAATCGAGCGTAAAGAAAACAATTGGTTTGTACTGACTGAAGAGAAAAGTGTTGGATATTGAACTGAGAGTTTTCAAATGTTTGGGACACGGTTAGTTTTGTGAATGTTTATATCAGTCGTACTTTTTCGCACTTTTTATCATTATAAGGGATCTGACAGTATCATTTAATGATTGAATCGCGTCCTGGGAATGTCAGTAGTCTGCAGTAATTCGATCGATAACTGAGTGATGATGAATTTCATGTATGTCTAGTCCACTGCTTACTGCTTCTAAGAGTTATCCACAGCTCAACTTTCATTGGCTTCGAAGGGAGAGAAAAATCAGTGCAAAAGTATGGTAATAAAACGACGTCAACTAGCAATTAATCACCCCTAATCGATAGAACATGTCTTTACATTGAGTCCAGTTACTAATCTTAAAATTAGAGAATGTCGGTGTATTTATTCAAAGCATTTTACTGGATAAATCAACGGAGGTTCAGATCACGATACCTTTAATAATAGGCAAGACTACACTAAGTTGTCTGCCAGTGACCATTTAAACTCCTTAAGGTGGCTGTGGGGTCGGAGACAATGTAATGTTTTGTGTGAGAAAGCAAGACTGTATGAACATTTAACTAGGACCTGATATAACACTGAAAGATGAAATCTAATGAGAAGTCGCTGTATCTGAACTAGCAATCTGTCGACGTAATAATGAAGAAAACCTCGATTTCGTGGAGTTCCAAGTGGTCAGGTCTTCGAAAATAACAGGACCTTGTAGTACACTTGCTCAAGCATTCTATGTATAATTCTCAACTTAATTGGGAATCTGTTCATTTTGATCTCTACATAGTAATAATGTTTTAAAACCTCAATCAGTCGGCTGCAACGTGAAACTTGGTACGTACGTGCATCACTTCAAAATGCCGTACTACATTAACACAGAGAGGGATGGAATCGGTAATTCAAATCCCACAGTGGTATGTGGTGTCAGTATTAGCGGTAATGGAAAAGATAAGGGTTCAAATAAATTATTCAAGAAGTATTATCCGGTGAAGTAAATTTAAAAAGCGATAACAAAGGTCCTGAGCTCATGAGAGAAGACAAAGAATGTATCCAGCTGAGCCATTGCAAACAGTTTTGAGCCGTATCATTCAATGTCTCTAACCATCGGTGACTACTGTCTCTCAGACCTCAACCAGTTTGCCTACATTTGCCAACATGGCTCAGTCCATTTGTCAGTGTACTGGATTGAATCATTTTGGTAGGTGTCGACTACCTGGTTGGGGTCCGCGAGATAATAGTAATCGATGGTTAGAGACCCTGAATGACATGGCGCAAAACCGTTTGCGATGGTGCAAGTGAATGGATTCTTTGTGTTCTCTCATAAGCACAGGTGCATCCGTACTTCGTGTTCTTTCAAATTCTGACCTTCTGAATTCCCTATCACCATTATCTTTTTATTTTCAGGTTTATTTCACTAGATTCTACTTATTGAGTAATATTGTCGACCCCTATTCTCTCTGATTACTGCTAATACTTCTATTACCTCTACTACTATGGGATTTGAATTGACAACTGAGTCTCTATGCTAATGTGATATGGCAACCTGAACTTATGTACGTACGTACGAAGTCCTCCGTTGTAACTGACTTCATGGATTTGTGTCATGTTTTGGTTTGGCCACACCTAGCTTTCTTCCAACCTACTCCTACACCACAAAACATCGGTCGTTCGAGGTCGGTATCTGGGTATTCGTAACACATGTCCCAACCACCTCAACTGATGAAGTTACACTTCATTTATTGATCTACCATCCTTACCTAGTACCCGTTTCCTAATAGCATCACCGCTTACTCGCTTGTCCCCGGATATTCTAGCAATGTTTCTAAGACGCCAACGATCAAATAATAGTACCCTACTTATGTCATCTATTGTTATTGGCCATGTGTCACACTCATAAAGGAGGATGTAGCAATTTTTTGCGCAGTTTACTCGTCCTTTGCGTAGCAAGGGGATATCTCGCCAACTCCATTAATGACTCAAGTTTGAAAAAGCCAATCGAGCCTTTTGTATCAGCTCTGAGATTTAATCAGACACCAGACCATCAGCACTAATGAAACTCCCGAGATAAGTGAAGCGGTCGATACACTCAACTACTTCACCGCTCTCTACCAGTTGTTCAACAAAATTTTGCATGTCGACGGAATCCCATCCCGAACGTGCTTGCATTGGTGCTTAGGATGGTCAGAAGACTGCATTTTGTCAGCGTCTTCACCAAATAGGACTTTGTCATCGGCATATTCAACAATCGAGTCTCCATATGAAAGGTCAACTCTTGAGACGTCAGACGTCCACAGCGTCATCTCTAAAAGCATGTTGATAACAAAGTTCAATGAGAATAGAGAAAGCAGACATCTCTGAAGTAATCAATTCCGATGACAGTTCACCATAAGCTCTCACTATGCCAGTAGTGACCGAATAAACAGCCTATATAATGTTAATGTATTTCTCTTGCACACCTTCAGTGACAGACACAGCCACAAAACCTCACGATCAACAGGGTCCAGTGCCGCCGTAAGTTCAAGGAGTACTTTTATTTTGTCACGTCAAAATGTACGTCTATGTCCTAAAACCTGTCATAGTGTGGATATGTGGTCTATACATCTATGTTCAGGTCGAAAACCAGCCTGGTTTTCTCGTATCTGCAGACAGACAGACAGATACAACGCAGAACTTCGTACGTAAGTACATCAGTTCAGGTTGCCATACCACATCAGCACAGAGACGCAACTGTCAGTTCAAATCCAAGAGAGATAGCGGTAGTAGAAGTATTAGCAGTAATGGCGAAGATTAGGGTTCGAAGATATGATTCAAGAAGTATAATTAGTGAGAAAACTTTAGAAAGAGAAAGATAGATATGATTAGGAATTCAGGAGGTTAGAATTTGAGAGAACACAAAGAATAAATGCACCGGCGCCATTGCAAACGGTTTTGAGCCATATCATTCAAGGTCTCTAACCATCGATTATTATCATCTCGCGGACCCCAACCAGGTAGCCTACATCTACCAACATGACTTAGTCCACTTGTTAGTGACTTCATGGATTTGTGCGATGTTTTGGTTTTGCCACACCTAGCTTTCTTCCAACCTAAACCTACAACACTAAACATTGCTCATCGAGGCAGTTGGTGGTTAGGCATACGTAACGCATGTCCCAACCACCTCAACTGATGAAGTTTCACTACTTCATCTGTTGATTTGCCATCCTTACCTAGAACTCGTTTCCTAACGACAGCATTGCTTTCTTGGTTGTCCCAGGATACACGAGCACTGCTCCGAAGATATCTATGATCGATAATGACTTCGATAATAAAAGTAGATTAAAGTTGACTTGAATCTAATAGCTTTGGTCTGGCGTTTAGAACGTTTGGTGGATTTCAAATTCTAGCATATGTATGTAACCTTTCGTAATAATTTTATTTTATATTTTCTACAGATCACACAGCTCACTGGAAGTTAATACGACCTTATTGCTTTATCTATTTTGTCCTGAAGCTATCTAAGTTTAAAATTCTATTTCTTGAACTTCATATTTCGTTGTGATGGATTACGAAGCAAATGAAGAAGACGATTATGATAGTGACTTTATTGATGAAGATATTGAGTCACGTCTTTATAGTGCAGTATTCTTTGAGACGTCGAGTTGCACACCTATATCACATGATCTGGTATCGAGGCGAATCGATCCTAATTTTAACGCCGCATTATTTTTACGCGATTCGGAATCATCCAAAAGTTCTGTTTTCATGCACAACGGCCGTGGAAACGACGAAGTCGCTGATACATTGACAATCTCCCTTCAAGATCAAAAAGACAGTTTCGAGGATGAATATGAAAAAGATACCTCATCATCAAGCTCTGGTTGTAGCGTTTTATTGTGTGGTGGCAATGATTCTTCTGAAGCTGAGATCAGTACTCAAGGTGTTCTTCTTGATGTTTCTCACGATACGCTACTACATGTCGAGAGTGGAAATAGCTCTTCAGTAGTAACATGTCAGACAACATTCAACGATGATCCTAATTTGTGGAAGATATGTAATGCTGATAGATACTCATCACGTTCAACCAATACCCGATATTTTAACAATCTAGATAATTCAGTGTGTTCACAATGTGGGAGTAAAAGACAAAAGTCTCATAGATGTTGTATTGTAAGTTTGTGTTGATAAGGAATTTCACACTGACTTCTTAAAATAAAATCTAGATATGTGTAATCACTTTTTCACTATGACATTTGCAAATTCGAACATATTCAATATGAAAACTAGAGTTAGTTTAGTTGAACTACTGTGTCCATTGTGTTATTTACATTACATTTCTAGTATTCACTGGCTCAGCAATTAACCTTTGATCGATTGGTAATTGCTTTCATTACTAGCTTTTCAGCCATGTAGTAGGGATGCTACTTAGAAATAGATAATTCGTAAAAAAATTAAAATGACTTTATTGAAAGTAAGTTGCAATCTTATAATGTTGTATGCCCCTTTTCGACTCCTTACTGATAGTAAGATCGTTCTAATCTATTTTTCTTGTGCTCTTGCCAAATGTATTAATATAAGTCCATTTACTTCTATATGAGTTAATTCATTGTTCCTGTTTTGCCAGAAGTGAGAGAAACATTGTAGCTCCTCTTTTTTACTATGAAGTTAAACTTACATCGATTATTTTAATTTCTAAGTATACATTATTCAGCATGGGCTTTACTTTCTTCGAGGTTACATAGAAAGTGAATGATCCTTTGAAATTGCCACTAGACAAATGTGCGTAGTCTTTCTTTGTTTTTTTATCGACTACCGTTTTACGCAAATAAAGAAACTCGGTGAACTATATAAAATTATGAGGTTTAAAGCAAACTATTGGTTTGCTGAAGTTATAAAATGGCAACTCTTAACCGAGTGTTTGAGATATTTGCAAATATACAACCAATTAGGATCTGAGCAAATATATGGGTATGTGTAATACGGGTTTGGCTTTTAAGCGTCTTAAGTCTGTTGCAGTGTACACAGTTCAAATTATTATCTGGGTCTGAAGATAAGGTTCTATTGCTAGATTGATGAAAGCATGACAACAGTAAAGTTTATTGTTGAAGGGACTGAAATTCAGGACTAAGGCTTTTCCAGTCATAAGTAAAAAATTAACTTTAAGTCGGACTTAAGAATTAGATTTTCAGCTTTTTGTTGTTAGAAGTTAGCTTTCTCGAGGTGCCGAAGGAAATACTTAACGACTGGTGTCCACAACCAACCATGTATAGTTGTCTCTAAGTTATTTTGCACAAGAAGTTTTCTTTATCAGGAACTTTGAGGCTTAATTCTCCTTGGAAAACTCAGGAGTATTCTTGAACATTTTTGTTGGGTTCAACTATGCTTTTCAAGGTTTGAATAAAACAAGACAAAAAGCCTAGCAAAAAAGGTAAGTCCATTCATATTGTGGATTTTCGTCAGCCGCTAGAAATAACGACAGTAAATATTTATAACAAATGTGCTTACTTTATATCATATCATATCATATTATTATCATTATTATTTAAACAGATCATTATTGGTCCAAAGAGATATAAATATTTAAACGCCACACAATTCAATGAATTTTTATGGGCTGGGATACTGTCTGGGTGTCCGAAATGAAGCAGGTTTTCCTAGGGGGTTCTCCGAACCTTTGACTTATTGGTCAAATCCACGCGGCAGTGCAGCAACGTCAGGAGGTGCGGTCCTATGGTAGCTGGTGGTCAGCGATACGTTCGTACGCCATTTGCCGCTCATGTGTACCATTGGTTTGGGATTAAACTTTTCCGAACTATCTAGGTGGCTCCTCCGTACCTGCCGACTCGGTCTAAGCCCCGATCAGATATTCGCTCTTCGTCCTCCCAATTTTGTAAATAACACCACACCCCATTGAGTAGGACTTGCATGGCAGTAGCTATACCTGCTTGGCTATGTGAGAGCATTTTGAGAGGGAGAGCGGACTGTCCCTACTTTTGGCTGCACCAGTGCATATTAGTGAAGATAAGTAGAATAATGGCAGGCATGAAAGTACTTCAGGGTGGTAAAGTGAATAAACATTTATATGTTAAGTGTGAAAATAATAAAACTCACGTGTTTATAAAGAATCAATATCGTTGTAATAGCAACCATAAAATTTAATAGAATAACAGATTAAGGTGAGAAGGGATCAAAAGGTTATACGAATGAGGAGCTATCATTATAGATTTGTGGACATTATTGACAATTATCTTGTTCCCGCTAATGACTTCGTGATGGAATTCTCGGATTTCTAGTGAGAAACTATGACCAGTAGAGTTCTACACCGTCGGGTATGAGGCAGTTACCTACCGAAGACAATCGATAATTTCCGAGCGATATCGTGGATTGATTCGAGTTAGACATTAACACCGTTGAATTCTGGCACAGTGGTCTAGAGTTTAAGTGTTCTCGCGCGAGGCTGAAGATTCTGGGTTCGATTCCTTTGCATTCCTTTGAATACATAGTATTCCAATACTTGTTTTGTTATCCGATGTGATATAAAGTGAGCACATTTGCCATAGATGATTATTTTCACTATTTTAGGTTGTAATCAGCTGGCGAAAATCTACAAAATAAATGAACTCACTTTATTCTATGCCTATCGTTTTTCGTTTTCTAATTTATCAGTGGGATAAATTGTATTGCATTTGCTATGAAACCTCAATAAAATGGCAAAGATTTCCATTCTCACTGTGGTTTTAATTAATTTACTTCAATTCATATCAAAGTAAAATATCATGGCTTTTTAGCTGTCATGTTTTGAGTAAAGCCTTATTTAGATCTTTACAAGTGGTTCAGTTGAGTTATTGTATGACTTGGAATGTATACAGAGCTTTAGACTATGGAATTTTTACCGTTTACATTAAACTATCTCCAATTTTTTTCAACTTAAACAGGTTTTTTAAAACATCTTTGTGAAATCTTTACGGATCGAAATATAATTTGTTTTTTACAATGCAGCGATTGTTTCCTTCTTGATTAAGATCAGCATTTGTTACTTTAATATTTTTATGTACCTGTATTAAAATCTTTTCATTTTTTTCCTATTGTTATTCAACTTGTAAGTGCTGCATCTTATGTGGAGAAGAGGGTCATGAGAAAAGTGAATGCAATAAAATGTATTGTTATGCTTGTTTGGCGCCTGGTCACACAAAGTACGAATGTCATTTGTTGCGAAGTTTGAAAAAATCAATCTGCGAACGCTGTGGACAACAAGGACATAATTCATCGGTATGACAGTTATATTTTTTATTGTCGCTTATGTAATTTTGTGGTTTTTTCTAATGCGATTATCTGAACGGTACACTATCTTCATCCTTTTCTTAAGGGGGCTCATTTCCAGCATTCTGATTTATGGGATTTCTTTCTTTCGTACTTGAACTGGTGCAGGTACGTACGCAGTTTTACGTTGTAACTGGCTGACCAACTGACTTTCAATAAAGTTAGAGACACTGTTGTTATTCTTGGATATATTTCAATGAAAGTCTAGTCTTCATTTCTTATCAATACCATGAAGGTTTAGCACATTCCATTAATTTTATACGACAGTACCTAAATATCACCTACACCTAGTAGTGTATGCAACTATGGTTTTTTATTTAGATGATAGGATAAATGTCTTTAGATGAATATGTAGCTTTTAAGAACTGGATCGGCATCTTAAAATTTTGGTTGTGAAATTAAAGCAATGTGACTACTTGAATTTAGAAACTCATTTGGTCGGTTATATAATAAATCAAAAATTTTACATTTCAGTTTGAAAAATTTACATTTAATATTACAAACTACTGTAAACAGTATGAAATCTTGAGTTAAATATTCTGTCCAACGAGCGCTACATTAATCAGTGAAATGGATATTATTATACTTTCGCATGTATTATTATTAGGATTATGCAGATAATATCATAGCAAAGTATGACTGTTCGTTGTGTACTGCGAATTGATATTTGTTGCAGAAGGCCATTCATGCCAATCAATAGTGCTTGCCGGTAAACTATTGTTGTGAATGTCTAACTCGAAACTTGTAAATAATTTTGTTGTTGAAGGAAACCATAGGGAATAGGTTTCAGACAACTGAGTTTCACTTCAGTAGTTACATATGAACATTTGACATTTTATTATCTTATTACTGTTTCTTTTGTTTTAAAGTCATTGATTTTGTTATATCGTTTTCTTGACCTTATAAATATTCATGTTTTTTAAACAAACTTTTAAATAGTAACATGACTTCCTCTAACTTAAGTTAATCAGATGTTGTCCTGCATTTTAATCTGCCTTCATGTTTTTACGAAACGTTTTCTTGCTAGTGAATTCGACATATATACCAAGCTTACAATGGATGTGATAATAAAAACTGCCAGATAAATACATATTTGATATCCTTCAACCTCTTACTGCAACACTAATTCATTGTACAGTTATCAAAGCAACCGTAACAGTTGCTGATTATTCATATCAGTTAGGCTTTGTATATGCGAGCATTGCCATTTATTATATCTTTTTACGAACCTTAGTTTCTCATCGGTTTATCTCATGACTTTTTGTTTGAGATATACATTTTACTTACGTTACAATATGCTGATGCAACATATTTGTCTTGTGTTTTATTTTCGACAGCTGTGTACAGAATTATGGAGACAATATCGAAATACCGTAAGTTAATCCTCCTTTCTAGACTTAGTTGATTTTAAGCATCATCACTGTGTCTGTGTGTACGTGGTAGAATCTTTATTGACACATGGTTATCATGCAACACAATTTGAAGTTCAGAGTTTTTATTGATTAAATTTCCTTGATGTCAATCTGAAGTGAACCGACACACTGGATATTTGACAAAAAGTTAAGAATTATTTAATGTTGATCACATGTAATAGATATTTAAACATCCAGCAGTTTATTCAGTTGACAGATAGCTATTATTTTGACTAGTAGAGTGTTAAAATTTAATTTCAGATGCATATCAGAATGGATTGTCAACTTATCATCTTATTTAATATGCTTTTTCACAACTTACAGTCGTGAATTCAAAGCACCATTTAATCTTGCACTGCACTATATATTATCGTGGCAATAAAATTAATTGAAAATACAATTGAATTCTGTTATATCAAAACTTCTTATTCCAGCCATTATTCTCCGATTAAATTTGTTCATTGTAAAATTCTTGAAATAATGCATTTGAATTTTGTAGTATTGTTTTTTTTCTGTATATAAATAAAATAAGCAGTCATGATCATAAAGTACTGATACACTATTATTTATTGAAGTGATTCTTTGTTATATTTTTTTGAATAGTAGTGAAAGTTTCAATAACTTTTAATTTCATTCTGTTTATGGTTTCTGTTCAGTTAGGAAATTATTCACGAATATAGATATTCTTTATTTTATTTCACTATATTTTCATTACATGCTGTTTGTATATTTTATTTTTACTTTTCACAGACAAGTAAAGGTAAACCAGTACGTTTATATGACTTTGTGAAATCAAAAGGCTGTTGTAATTGTGGCCGAAAAGGACATACTGTTGAAGTATGTGCTACTAATATTTTCTTCTTGATAATTATACACATTCATATGTTTAGTTCATTATTTTTTGATTCCTTACATGGTTTAACGTTTGTCATTGAATTTGATAATCATGTGTGTACATATCGTTTGACTATAAGGCACAAATCCTGTATGAGAATTAATTTCAATAATTCACTATCGAGCCACCAACAGTATTTAGGAAGTATAAATATATTGTTAATATTCAAATGTAAAATATATAAATTAACTGGCTAAAAGTTGTATTGGTAAACTATATTTATGATGGTTAACTTGTTTATCTTTAAAGCTTATTGATTTATTAATGTGTTGAAATAATTTGTAATCTTATATACTATCATACAAGTTGAATTTTTCATCTAAAACAAACAGTTTATTAGGAGGACGTCTACTTGTGATTATCAACGTATAACACTTTCAATTTCACAATATCATTTACTATTTCCAGCTTATATACTCCAATGCTTGGAACTGGCCACTCTGAGACTTAACAAATTAATAGTTTATTTTATTCAGATAATTTTGTTGCTTTCATATTTGAAAATAGATAGTAAATAATAACTGTATAATTTTGTGAAATAATTGGATATTAACCTCATCAGTTAATAAACGTTAAAAAAATTTTGGTAACCCGCTGTAACACACTTTGACAGTCTTCAGTGTCGATCGAATTTAAGGTTGGATAATTCATCAACTTATTTATGGCATACTTGCGTGCAATTGTTTAATATGGTTTTTCTAATTGGACTTTATTTCACGGGAGTCTTTACAAACTAAACAATTTAAAACTTGTCCTAATGATGATCTGTATAGATTATTATATACAATACTTCCTAATGATATTGATACATTTTTATACTGACATGTAGAAATTGTTTTATTTAATCGAAAACACGGTAACCTGATATCCGTTCTTGTAGTTTTTTAAATTGACTAGTTCTGTTCAATCATTCACATTATTCATAGGATGCCTAAAAAGAATCATTTTTCTATTTGAATTTATGTTAGTTCTAGAATCATGATCATGTGTCATCAAGACGAGTAATAATACTGTTTAAAAATGGAAAATATTCTTTAAACTTTCTTTTTTTGTTACATTTCTTTCTTGATTAAGGATTTTTTGTCTGATATTTAATTCCTTTCAAGGATTGTCGTTGCAAACCTTTAAGATCTAATTTTATTGGTCCTTTACCAAAAAGAAGAGTTTTGGTTTATGATAAAAAGGACATATACAAGTCTATCCGTTCAAAGTTAACTAAAATACGTGAAAAGAAAAATAAATCCAAAAAAACTACGGAGAAGGTAGACGATTGCATAGTAATCGACTCTGAAAATGAAAATCACTTGTGTAAACGTCCCAAGTCATCTAAACAGAAAAAAGAACAATGTAAAAAATTGAATTGCCGAACTAATTCTTCTTCTTATAAAAAATCTTGTAAACCTATCAATCAAAAGAAATTACGGAAGGTCTTGGAACAAGAATTGCCATATAAAGCCTCATCATCACCGTATATGAGTAAGTTTTATGTTTATTTCGAATAGATAGCATACATGTGTTCGTATTAATTTTCATGCTAATAGATCGAAGCCTAAAATTGGTGCTATCATTTCAGATTAATTTGTATATTATTTAAGATATCCTTCAAAAAAAGCTACAGGTTTTACAGATTTGCTTATCGCATTGATGATGAAGAAGGGAAACACCTTTCCGTCTACTGTTTACAAAATTGTAGCGATAATATACCAATATGTGATCATAGCATTTAGGTTTACATCTGTTTCGATCTGTTATTGAACCGTTTTACTCCCTGAAAATTATATCTTACACCATTTTTAAAGGACTTAGATAAGGGGTATTATAATTAATAGTAGTTTTTGATGGAAAGGCTCAAATTATTGAGTTGAATATAATATAATAAATATTATTAATAAACTAGTGTTTATTGTATAGTGATAATTTTATTTACTTTAATCACATTCTTGGTTTTTTGTCAGATGATTTGAGAAAGTCAACCATGAAACAGCGAATGGATTTTGCACAAGGCGACGTTATGTCAGCACTAAAAAGTAAAAAAACAAAAAAGAATAAGAAAAATGTCATTGGTGGTAACCGAAAACTTAAGTCTCAAAGCATTTCTTCATCTCATTCCAAAGTTTTCTCATCATCTTCTTGTAGTTGTAATGCAACTTCAGACAACTTTTCTATCACACAAAGATGTAGAAAAAGACAAAAGTCAAGGTATATTGTTATTTTATAATTTGTTCTTATCTCGGTATTCTAAGCATTTGGTTTCTGTAGTATATGATGTTAGGATCGAAATAGCTGATCTAATTAAAATAGACTAAGTGGATTAACTGATAATCTACTGACTGATTGGATATACTTATTTTGGAATTAAGACTAGCAGTTAAATTCGAGATGTACAACCAATATAGTATGATGTCCAGTTAATAAATAATTAATCTTGAATCAATGATTGTTAGACTTGTATTAGGAACCTGGAGGCACTAGATGGCCGGCATCCAAAGGTGTTACCGGTGGTCCAGAGGTTAGACGTTCGCGCGCACGATCGAAGGCTCTTGGTTCAATTCCTGTAGGAGCAAGTTATGTATGCGCACTTCTGGTAAGTTCCATACCAGGACGAATTGCCATCCAGTGCCTCCAGGTTTCTAATGATAATCTGACGATGATTGGTTCACGATTTCAGTGTAAAACAACGATCTCCATAACTCTCTAATGAGAAATAACTACTCATAAATGAAAATGTAGGTCACACGGAAACCAGTTACTTTTCACTTTTTGCCAATCGTATTTGTTTATGGTGAGAATGCATATTTTAGCTTTTGCGATTGTTAGTATTGAGTGCATTTCAGACCACTTTACTTTAACGGAATCCTTGCTGTTGTTTTATAGTGCTTCATATAATTTTTGCTGTTGTAGAGAAAGTACCACTCAGTTTCTTCGAGTTCAGTAACTGCGAGTCTATAACGTTCACTGTTACAATATTTTCCTTTGTGGATTTGAATTGACAATTGTGTCTCTGTGCTAATGTGGTGTGACAACATGAACTTATGTACGAAGTCCTACGTTGTAACTGACTGACTTGATAAGTTATTGGTGTAGCTTTAAAAGTTATCAATAGTGACCCTACTGCACAGTTTAAAATGTGATATTCATCCTCGTGACCGGGAGAAGCACATAATTTCTTGTCTAGAGTCACATTGTCAAGTATGAGGTAAACATGTTATGTGATGAAAACAATCCTTAGGAAACTGTACTTAGTAAACACTGATCGACTAGCCATCTACCGTCTTCAGTAAGCTGATATTGTCTTAAGGGTTTAAAAACTCATTTCTCGATTTCATACCTATTTTAGCTGTGATTAACGTTTTTAAATAATGCTAAACTCCCTTTGTGTTCATACTACGTCGCTTTAACTTCCAATGAATGATCTAATTGAGTGAATTTACTGCTAATTGTCGTAGCCCATTAAGTATCATTATGAGGATCTTGTAAAACTATTCACATTCACTCTCAACATATATATTAGTTTCTAATACTGTGCTGACTAGGTATCAGTTTTGATAAGCGTTTTAGAGCTCTTCTTTATAAATATATATTATTTCCAAAATATATATGGATAGTTTCAAGTCGATCATTACTACAATATTTAATTATTCCGATAAATCTTTTAATAAGTCAGTTAATTAAATTTGATGCTATACATACTTTCTTTTTTATAGTAGTTAACAGTTTCTCAATTATTTTATTCTTTCAGATCTTCAGAAGACATTTACAGTTCAAGTATTTCATATTCACCATGTCAGCATACCTATCAAACACCTAGAAAATCAAATAAGAAATATTCCTCTCAATCTGTAATTTCTTAATATAAACGAGATTGTATAAATTGTTGGCCTTTTTGTATAACTACCATAAATTTGCTTGTTTATTAGTCCCATTTGTAGCAAACAGGCTATGGGATAATGATAATGGAGATGTGTTTGTCATAATAGTTATGTAATACCGTATGTTCATTAGAGTTCAACTCAGTGTGGTAGCGGAACTTTTGTGTTCAGCATTGAACAGTGGTCGTCGTTGGTGTTTAGAGATGTAATACATTGACTTATTGTGTAATGTATTTAATTTCTGTGAAAGGACTGAGTTGTTTTGATAAGATTAATGTAGTCGAGTAAGGCCATTGCTACACATTTTTTCGATTTTCTTTAGCTATTAAATACAGCTAGAATTCAAATTTCTTTCATCAAGAGAACTGAACTGTCTTCTTTGCATAGTGATAAGTCAGTCAGTCAGTCAGTTGCAACGTAGAACTTCGTACGTAAGTACATCAGTTCATGTTGCCATACCACATCAGTACAGAGATATAATTGCCAATTCAAATCCAATAGTAGAAGAGGTAGTAAAGGCATTAGAAGTAATCGGAGAGGTTAGGATTAGAAGATATTATTCAAGAAGTATGATTCAATGAGATAAGTTTAGAAAGTCAAAACTAGAGGTGTTGAAGAACCCAGAAGGTTAGGATTTGAGAGAACACAAAGAATAAATGCACCGGCGCCATTGCGAACGATTTTGAGCCATGTCATTCAAGGTCTCTAACCATCGATTATTATCATCTCGCGGACCCCAATCAGGTAGCCCACATTTACCAACATGACTTAGTCCACTTGTTAGTGACTTCATGGATTTGTGCGATGTTTTGGTTTTGCCACACCTAGCTTCCTTCCAACCTACTCCTACATTACAAAACAAAGCTCGACGAGGCAGTCGGTGGTTAGGCATACGCAGCACATGTCCCAACCACCTTAACTGATGAAGTTTCAATACTTCATCTATTGATCTGCCATCTTTACCTTGCACCCAATTCCTAATAACAGCGTTGCTCACTTGGGTGTCCCACGATATACGAGCAATGCTTCGAAGACACCTATGATCGAAAACCAGTAACCTACGAATATCTTCTACGCTCACTGGCCATGTTTCACAGCCATAAAGTAAGACGGAGCGAACCACTGCACAGTACACTCGTCCTTTAGTCAGCAAACGGATATCACGCCTACGCCATAAGTGACGCAGGTTGGCCAAAGCCGATCGAGCCTTCTGTATCCGAGCTGACATTTCGTCAGTCACCAGGCCATCGGCACTGATGAGACTCCCAAGATAAGTGAAGCGGTCTACACGTTCGACTACTTCACTCCCTATCACTAGTTCAGGTGCCGATGCAACCCAGTCTTGAAGCAAAATTTTGCATTTCGAGGGGGAAAACCGCATCCCGAACATGCTTGCATTGTTGCTTAGGGTGGTCAAAAGACTCTGCATTTTGTCAGCGTCTTCACCAAGTAGAACTATGTTATCGGCATATTCTAAGTCGATAAGCGAGCCACCTGGTAGAAGGTCTACTGCTGAAAATTCAGGTGACGATAAGGTTATTTCTAGGAGCATGTCTATGATAAATTAAACAAGAATGGAGAAAGTGGACATCCCTGACGGACACCACTTGAAGTGAGGAATTCCGGTGACAGTTCGCCATAAGCTCTCACTCGACCAGTGGTGTTCGAGTAGAGAGCTTGTATGAGGTTAATGTACTTCTTTGGTACACCTTTCAATGACAGACACTGCCACAGAACCTCACGATCTACAGCGTCGAATGCCGCTTTTAAGTCCAGGAACACAATTATTGTAGGACGCCTAAATGTGTGTCTGTGTTCCAGGACCTGTCGTAGTGTGAAGATGTGGTCTATACAACCACGTCCAGGTCGAAAACCAGCCTGGTTTTCTCTAGTCTGCTCTTCACGAGCTTTCGTTAAGCGTCGAAGTATTATTGAGGCCAATATTTTAGATACTATATTAGTTAGACTTATTCCCCTGTGATTGTCACAAGAAGACTTTTGTCCTTTCTTATAGATTGGGACAATCAGTGATTGAGACCAGTCGGATGGGATTACGTCCAGTTCCCAGATTCTACCTAAGATCTCAGTCAATCTAGCTGCTAAAACTGGACCACCATCCTTAAATATCTCAGGAGTCAGTCTATCAGGACCTGCAGCTCGCCCTCGCTTCAGATTTCCTAACGCTTTTTCAACTTCATTAAGACTAGGGGGACTTACGTCGATTTGCCATTCAGGATGACTGGAGATCGTGGGTAACCGAAGAGTGGCTCGAGGCCAGTTGAACTGATCCCTAAAGTGTTCTGCCCATCGATCCAGTCTCCTGGATTGAGAATAAATAATAGTCCCGTCATTTTCTGAGATAGTCTCACTTACACTAGGATTCCAAATACCAGTTTCCTTGATGAGTCTAAAGAGTTGTCTACTGTTGCCTATCGCCGCTGCCTTTTCCATCGCTTTTACGTTCGCCACCCACCACTGTTCGCGATCATTGCGTAGGCTTTTTGTCAGCCTACGTCTTAGCTGACTCATCGCCCTCAGAGTCAGGTGGGATGAGTTTTCGAGCATCCATCAGTTCGGTGGATGCGACTGAAATCCACTGCTTCATCCTAGCCTTGTGGTTTACCTTGCTAGCAGATACCATTGCTGTTTACACAGCCTTCTTGATATGATTCCAACCTGCCTCCGGATGGGAATCAGTTGCAAGGTCGCCTAACTGTATTTCTAGTTGTTCCTGAAATATATTTTTCGCCTTATTATCATTAAGTAAAACCCTAAGAGGCTTTCTTACGGTGTCTTTCCTACGTCCAGCAAGCCTCAAACAAATACGTGCTCGCACTAGGGCATGATCTGAATCTAATCATGTGCCCCAGAACGAGCGACAGTCCTCTATCGAACCCCTCCATTGGTGGCTGATGGCAATGTGATCTAGTTGGGTCCAACCTTGAGACGACTTTGGAGGTCGCCAGGTCAAAAGATGTTTTCCCTTATGCTTAAAATTAGTGTTTGCTAGAAATAGGCGGTTATCTGAGCATACTTGCAACAGACGGTCACCATTGTCTGTTCTTTGAGCCGCGAGACCGTAACATCCACCTAGGTGACTTTCATTTTCACTTAGTCTGCCTACTTGTGCATTGAAGTCACCAGCCATTATTACTGTATCAGAGCGCTTAAATTTTTGGAGAAGGTCCGAAAGCTTTCTGTAAAACTCATCTTTTATATCATCTGGACTGCAGTCAGTGGGTGCGTAGGCTGATATGACGAAGAGGCAACGGCGATTGTCCCTATCCTTCCGAGTCCTTACTGTCCCGTTTAGTCGGACAGCGCACAAGCGACTATCTACAGGGATCCAGTCAAGGAGAGATTGTTCAGCTCTACGACTCAATGCTATGCCTACGCCAGCAAGACCCCTGGAAGCAGCATCAGGGCCACCGGATACACGAAGGGTTGCTTCTTTATCTTGACATGGTGAGTTCAAATGAGTGATGCTACTGGGATCCTGTATGCGCGTTTCCGAGACGAAGCACACATCGATGGAACGAGATTCTAAGGTCCTAGCTAATGAAGCGTGTTGCCCTATTTGACACAATGTCCGTACATTGAATGCTTCAACATGTAGTTTTGAACGGGGTTTAAGGCGACCAGGAATGCCGTTTCGCCAACTCGCATCGTTTGCATTAGCTGTGCACTGTGATAAATGAATGTGAGAAGAGTTATTCGTGGAGATAAGAGAGGTATTAGGGAATGTAGGAAGGATTTGATTTCGACCAATTTGGTCTCGTGTGCTGTTACGGGTATGAGGGCGGTTATCAGTTCCCGGCTGCCCACACCGTGGAAGGTTGTTTCTTAAGGGACCTGAAAAGGAAGATAGACTAGTGTTGGTCTCGGAGACCTGGTTGCGTGACTGTAGAGTCTAAGGGATAACTGCTTGAGGCCGATCACGTACGGCCTTTTTATGAAAGGTTTTTTGAGGATTAGCTCCGTACTTAAAGGCCCTCAGTGGGCACCCTTACCCAAGGAGACGGAAATCCGTGAGGTAGGGTGAGGTGTGACATTTTTAGGGTCGACCTTTGCTAACCCTTCCTTCCTTGTGAGAAGGCAGCATCGCTGCACATGCTGGTTGTCCGAGGAAAACACCTTACTGCTGTCATACCCCTCCATCACAGTCAGCAGTACGACTTCGCCCTCAGACCTTGAGTAGCTGCCTTTTGACTCATCGTTCTCCAATCGATCTGTCTGGCATGGTAGAACCTTCAGGAACATAAGTTCCAGCCAGTATAGCTCGGTTGGGTCATGACGGTAGGCAAGCCCGACCACCACGTCAAGGTAGCAGCTACGGTCGGGTATAGTGATAAAATGAATAATTTAATGTCAGAATATTTCAATCCAGTCTTAGGATTTCTGTTAGTCTCTGCAGGTACAATTAATACTATGATTATTTTTAAACTAAGGTCTACTTAAGCCACAGTTTTTACTTAGTGAATAATTTTTTCGGCATTAACTGTTCGACGTAAACATTCTCATATGAGCTGACTACTTCTCAATTGTCAGTAATTTTGAGTTGTCTGTTTGGGTTGTATATGAGACGCTTTGTTCTTCATTGTCTTGTTTTACATAATTCTTTCATGAGTAGAATGCTCATGTATGCAAATATCGTCCACAATATGTAGTATCAGGATGTAACGAACTTTTTCCTTAGCTGGTGTGGAAAAATATGATGAATTATATTTGTTTCTTTCGTTGATCTTTAAGCGACTATTAAGATATCTAAGGTTTCGCTCAATGTTACTCTCTATTTAATGATGAAATTTAGTCATGATTTCTGAAACCTGTTGTATTCAATTAGTTTCATTTCAATTATATTTGGTGAAATTATCCCTCATAAATGAAGTCATTTGATATTTTCAACTAACTGCATATTCTGATATGCTTACCAAACGGTAAAGTTCCTCTTGATAATCGAAGTGAACGAACAAAAGTTTGTGATCAGTAAAGAAAATGATTCACTGCT